CACAGAATATTATGGTGATTTTGTACATTCGTCACCACTCGCCCCTTTCCGTAACCTCCTAGAAGACTCGTCCCCCACTCGATACTTGTTATTATGCGAAAATACGACAAACCAATCAGAACGCGCGTAAATGAGCGCGGTGCTTTGGTAAAAATAATCCCGAGTACTTAAATCGTTTATGTCATTATGTCATTGTTTAAAGAATCATGAAAAATATATATCGTCATATTGAAAGTACAAAGAACGTAGCCAAAAGGATTTTGCTGCCTATTATGAAGTTTTTAATAAGAATCATGCCATTGACGGTGAGAGATTCAAATACACGCACGTGCGTTTGTTGACATCACTGCTCTCATGGGTCCAACTGAGTGTATTTCTGACGATCTTGCGGGCTTGTTATGGAGATTGTACGTGCGCTTCGACCAATTTTAGGATATGTAATTATAATCGCTACGAGTTTCAAAACAATAATATCGTATTTGTATGCAACTAATCAACCTTAATCTTTAACATTGGGCTTATATTTCATAGCTCTGGGGATATTTTAGTCTGAGTATTTTTTTCAGTCGTACTTATTTTTTTCAGGGAATTCATTTGAAATTCCACCAGGGGTGTGACAGCAAAGTTACACGAATGTTCAGTTTGAGAAATACTTTAAAGTCATTTTTGAGTATCTGCTTTGGGATTTAATGTAGCTGATTTTTTTAATTGATTTTTTGGGGTATATTCAATAAAACAATTCCCATTTGTGATAATTAAACCCTATTAAGAAAATTAACATAATTGGAAATATAAGGTGAACAGCTGGTAATAATTACATTAGAATATGTCTAACAAATATGTTTTTCTCCTTCTTTTAGTTGTATGGGAGAGGTTTAATTATTTAAAATAAATAAGTAAAAAAAACCACAAAACAACAACCTAGCAATACAATGTACATGTGCTTCAGTGATATTAAGAAACTTTGGAATCAATCAGGGATAGAGTTATCGTTCTTTTTTAAAGTAGTTCTGAAGTTCATGCGCCAATATGAAATCCTTCCAGAGAGGCACGAGTCGCTATTCGGCTTGTCCCGGAATAACACGAGTTGGTCACAAATGGATTTTGTATTATCAGAAAACATTCAATACAAATGCAATATTTTTGACTGAACGATTAACTGGTGAAAAACACAAACGCAACATTTGTAGACCTTTGTAACTTTACAGAAGAATTTTTGATAGCCTGCACGAAAACGTCTTGGAAAGTAAATTAACAGCCGGGAGAACGTGGAAGTTATGACAACCATATGCAGTCACAAGGACTAAATATAGGCACAAAAATATGTCAACATTTTATCATATTACGGTCCTCGACTAATTGGTAATGGGAATACTCCTTAAACGTAAATCATCCGCTTCTAAAACAATGAACGTTTTATTGAAGTATCGAATCTGTGTTCTATAGTGTATGAAATGGAGGTATTGGAAAGAGGCCGTGCCTATTGCTCTGTAATTTTCGCTTTTTAAGCCTTCGAATGTTAAAGATCACATATACTCTAGGGGCGTACAAATACATTATCACTAATTGGCATCGTTATAAATGACACCCCGTCATTAAAACTACTCATTTCGATCTTTAATTAACTTAAATCGACCTTTTTGACAACAGTGCTCAATTCCCACCCGCAAACGAAATTTCAACCAGTCTCTGTGACGTCATGTGAGGAATAGATAGGAAGGCCGATGCAGAATTCATGTACATTTCAGGGGGTCAATTATCTTGTTTACAGGTTTGTATAAACCTGAAATCGTGACAACTGTTTTGAAAATTGAAAGCTATATGTTCTCACAATCTACTGTTATTTATTTTTGTCTCCTGCTTTGCCTAGTTTCCGAGTTACAACTTGTTTTCATAGACGATTCTGTCAAAATCGCTTGGTGTCGCTAGGCCTTATTTGTTTGAGCCAGACGCTAGTGATAATGAAAACGATGATCAGCCTCGCTCATCACGGTTACGGTTAATTTCTTCAACCTAAACAGTGCGACATTAAGAAGGGTGGATGCCCGTCAGATGCAGTTATTTCAAAATACCCCCGGTAGTTCTTGTCTGATTGTAATAAAGTATCAAAGCAGTGAGGGCTTTTTCAAGTTTTCTAATGCCTGGATGGTATGACTGATCCAAATTGATCCCATTTCTGTTTTTTTTTTCACTCGATATTTAATCATGTCATGTAAAAATATGACGTCTATTGCGTATGGTATTAAAAATTGACATTTGATGTATTTGAATCCGTAAACTAAACAACCCTACTTTGCCATTGCTTAGGTAAATAGGTAAATACAGTCTTAGCACACAGCAAAGCCTTATATGTATTTCTTATGCAACAATGAAGTTCTGTTCGTATTCTCAAAACAGTGTCGGCCCATAAGTTTTCAGATGCAATTAAAATTGCATGCAATACAGCAATTGATACTCCCTTGTTGTAACCGGTGTTAGGTGGTATAAACCTACACATGTTATTTGTCATCATTCACTTGATGGTCAGGTAATGACTTTATAACAGGTATAACAAGTGGTAACACCACTTAGATTACTCGACAAAGGTTCCCATTTGGCATTTCTTATGTCTGGAGTAAATACTCAACATTATAAACGTCGATCAAAGGATTAACCGATAACACACTGATTGATTAATTACTTTTATCTTGCACAGCGGATTTGTCAAAAGATAGTGTTTATATATGTAGATTTACTAATCTATACTGAATACACTCTGTCGTGTCTGTGTCTGTGTAAAAAACCCGTCCTTCTTTCAAAGCATTAACCGCCAATACATTGATTGATTGCTCATTATTGGCTAACTAAATTACTTTTTTTTTTTTAAAGAATGCATTATGCAATTAGTTGCCAGGTGTGCTATCTTGGGTGACCAATGAGACTATACACCACTGTGAAATACCTGAAACGATATATTACTCTTTCGTATATTAGACTGTTAAAAGGCACATCTCATGGAACAGCTGCAGATGAATGGCATATCACTCGTTTTTGTGGATATTGATGGATACATACCTCGAACAAGGTAATAGCCTGACATTGTTCCTATAACTTTAATTTGTTTTAATTTTAATATTTGCATTTTGCTTTTATTCATTTGTCGTAGCATTCAACATAATCATTGTTTTCGCGGTGAAGTGTAATGAGACAGACAACATACACTTGGGCATGTGTGCGAATTATGATTCACATTGGCAAACTATAAAATGTTTAGATATTACAGTCCTGTTATAAATTCACTATAAGTACCAGCACATCGCCTGCTTTTTATTAAGTTTCAAAATGCATACAAGTATGATAATTAATTAGGATTATAAGACCAAATATAAAGACGTACATTGACTACATACTAGTGAGTGGACGTTAACCACGTGAATGTAGCAAGAAATTTATCGCGCAGTATTGTCACTTCGACCCCCACCTTGCTTCCGTGGAAGACATCCTTATGTTACAAGTTGTGTCATGAAAAATCCCTTTGGTCATGATTCAAATACATATTTAACTACGAGAAGAAAGTAGTTTGATTTGATGATTTGATCAACAAACAAACCATAATCTCATTAATTCTAACAGACTTTAGCCCGTGTCTTCACGATTTTCAAAAAAGGCGGCGCCCTGTCGCGAACATCCGCCAGTCTGAGGATAAATGCTATTTAGGTTTGTTTTCACCGAGTTATAAAATCAAAACTACTTTCTACTGGTATGACACAGATTATAACATAACAATTTCTCTCGTGGAAGCAAGGTGGGTGTCAATATAATACTACTTACAATATTATTGTCACTTCGACCACAACCTCGCTTCCGAGGAAGATATCGTTATGTTACAAGTTGTATCATGGAAAATCTATATGGTCATCAATCATATACATATTTACTACAACTAGTCAGTAGTTTTGATTCTTTCACTTCCGTGAAGCGATCTGAACACAAGTAAGATATCGTTCCAGGCTTCCACAACGCTCGCTTCGCACTCACAAACATAACCCATTTGGCACGAACTGCGGGGTCCTGTGGTGACACCATTGACCGACCCCTAGGAGCAATTGACGACAACGCAACGATTCGGCATGTCTTCGTTGATGTCGAGAAATTATCAAAATGACGAGCTTGCTACACACTTTACATACAACTAACTGAAAATCCTTCCTCACATGACATCACTGCAGTGCTCTGGCGACAGAGTTATGTAACCTGTCTGTGGTTTCGTTGGCGGGCGAGAGTGAAGCAGGCGACTTTTTGGCAACTTTTAATCGCTCGGTATTAATTAACCATAAGGTGTTTTAAGAATGAATTTGATGTTCCGCATAAGACTAACCACAAATCTTTCATATGTAATGGTAAAAAGAGAACAAAACACCAAAGTTTATTTGTTCTGTAATGAAAAGATGCAGCAGAATAATGGGAATACTACATACATTTATAGAGCGCTGCAGTTCACAATCATGATGGGCTTTGTGCAGTAGCAGATGTGGAAAGGCGGGAGGGCAAGAAGTTGTTGACTTAAAAACACAAGCAAACTTTTCGCTTTAATTTGAAAGAAGAGAAAGTGGTTGCAGTTTTGATGATATCCGGAAGGCAATTCGTTTCAGATGTTGTGAAAGAGAAACATCTTTTTCCAAAAGTAGAAGTAACCATAGTGCAGTGTTACACTGAGTGATTGAGTTGGGATTTACGAAGCGTTTAGCAATATTCCAACAATATCACGGCAGGGGACGCTAGAATTTACATGTACATGCGCCATTCAGATTTCTTGTAATGTCGATAACGGCGTTTTGACATGTAATTTGAAGACTTTACTAACAAGTGCATCGGATTTTCCAGTTTTGTGTGATGCGTTTCTGTATCACTACTCCATAACAATATTAAATATTGTTACATTATACATATAGCCCCCCGGAACATGATCCGTCATATCAGACTAAGTAGCAAGGCCAGACTATCAGTGCAAAAATATCTGATCACTGCACGTCATCAGGCAGGACAACATCTGGTGAACCTGACGCCGGAGTTTCATTGTACAGTACATCCTGGTACAGAATATGGTCCGGGTTACCCTAGAACCAGGAACAGAGTGAGAACACACCATGCTGGTGTCCATTGCACATTACATTACATACATTACACTACATACATGCATCTTGTTTTTATTGTCACACTAGACCAACCAAGGAGTTTCATATTTAATACCAGCACGAGCAGGGATCGGTTACTGCCGTCCATAGCACCAGCTTCCGTGTTGAAACGGTGGAGATTGTAGAAAGTGTCTAATACTGTACAAAAACTTGGAAGTCGTGTATACGTGCAGAACAAGGATGTATATCGTCACTGACAATCACGATCTTTTATCAGTTTTTATATGAATGGTGAGGCCAGAGACATGCTTGCCTGTTAATCTGAAACCATCATGTTCCATCATGTTTGTGAAAATATTCCTTACTATCAGTATCCAAACTTTTAATCGTTCCTACATTATGAAACCCCGGTTCGATTCCTCACATGGCTATCATTAGCGAATTAAGTCGTAAAACCACACTCACTGACTCACTGACATTATGAAATATGCTATTTTTCCATTAGAGATAAATTCAACAACATTTTACTGATCTTTTAACATAAATTACTTTCATGTTCAAATAAAAAAAGACGAATTATACTGATGATTTTCATTTCAAGCAATTTCAGATCGTAATATAATACATTCCACATCCGAACAACATTTTTTTCATTTCAAACTGCATTTATGAATTGCAAACCGTACAATGATGCAGTAAAAGTTTGCTTTGAGCACAGCTGAACTTCAGATTCATATGAGAAATAAAGAACAGTTTCAGCTAACGTATCGTTCTTACAATCCTGGAGACAGACTGTATTGGAATTGTTATGACCCTTTGTTGAAGCGCCATTTCCGTGGGATTGAAACATACACTAGTTGTCTAGTTATGAAATGGTTACAAGTATGTGTGTATAAAGACATGTATCTACATGTTCTGGTTCTTTTCTGAAATGACGTTGGTGACTGAGTTGTGTTTACGCCGCATTTGACATGATACGATTCAAGCCATATCACTGTGGAGGAAGACATATCACCATGCTTGTGTTAAGGTTTAGAAAATGCCGTGACAAAAGGTTTGTGAGTCTAAAATATTCAGTAATATATTGAATAAACAATGATCAAGGTTACAATGAATGACAATACAGATAATACAATACTATTGAGTCACAAATCTAAAATACACATTAAAATATTAACTAAATATCTATAATTACCGGAGTCTTGATTCTTGTCGATATACTGATTGAAGATTGTTGACACTGACAGTCAATGTAGACAGGGCCTTGTGAGCAGTTGGTCTTGAAACGTCATGTTAGCAGACACATGAGCGTAAATCCGAAGCAGTAGTTCCAAGGTCGTGTACCAACTATTGCGCGCGATCTTATAGATATTGTTTACATCATCCAGGGTGACATATGTAACAAGAAATAAATACAAGGAATACGTTATAAAATGTTTCCAAAAATTACCGTCACGACTGACTAATGACCATGCATACACACTTTTTAAAATCTGGTTTTACTTACTTTTATTGCTTAATCTTCTCAATGGCCTTGTACAGAAAACACGATATCGACTTATATGTTGGAAATATTACATCTAGAAATTTGCATTTAAAATTCATTGCTTCTAAACTTGTAAACGTTCAACTATGTCATTACAAATGTTTGGTTTTCATCCTCTGACAAGAATGTATAAAAATATTAGCCGCACTACCTAAGATCTACATCGTAACATGGTGTTTCGTCTCTAAAATATTTTATTGGTTGTAGATTCACTAGTCCATTCAAATAAGTGGAAAAAAAACACTCGCTGAAAGAAAACAAGACACATGACAACTGCTGTCTCCTTAGAAAGAGAAGGAGTCCAACGATGAGGTTTACATTGTGGTGTCCGGCTGCAATAATAACAGGTACACTGGTAGAACAGGAGGTAGCACTGTTGCAGGTACAGTTACAGGAATACTCATAGTGAGTGTAATGAGGATGGTTTATATGAGGACGACGATGGGAGGTGCTCGAGAAATATGAAAATGGCAATGAAGGTACCATGGTGCGAAGACAAATATATTTCATTAATTGAATTTTCTAGGTCTATAAAACGGACATAAAACATTCACAAAATGATGAATCTGTGGGACAAACCATGTGTTAAGTTACAAAGCAATCGCAGCTCTTGGATTGCAATGCCTCTGCTTTAATATATATTGCTTCTTGAAACACTATGCTCATAGAAAAGGACGAGAGTGCGATGTATGTTTCCTCCCTGCACAGCATTACAATACTTAACACAGATGTTCCTACGTGAAGATCTAGTTGTATATGTAGCGGAATTCCGCATATTTTCCATTCAAAAGGTGGCCATACTGACTTAATCAATAATGAGAGCATTGACAATTACCTTCAGAAACTTCACAATACTCGCCACTTCTTCCGTCCAGACAGCCATGAGTACAGGAGCCATTCACATGGTGACACGTGGCATTGATACAGTGGATGTTGCAATCTTCCTTACAATTTTCGCCATACCTTCCATCGTCGCACTCTGAAACCAAAATAAGTTTTGAAAACACCATCTTGTATGCACCGTAACACATCCTTCGATGATTTATATTTCAAACAGACATACGCTAACCCGTTTTGGGGGACTCCAGATATCGGTCGTACTTGACACTGATTGTAGAGTTTAGGTTCTTTAATGTGTTGCTTCCCTTATGTGTAAAATCATTGTGTCATTGTGAATTGCAGATATTTATCACTTGATAGATATACGCGATTTAGGCAGTTTGGAGGAAATATTTTCATGTCATAGATACATGCATGCATTTGTCCTTTTGCACTTACCTGTTTGAAAACATGATACACATAACATTTGCCGCCAAACAAGGTGACCATAGATAAAGTTACATTATCTATTTTCAGAGATTCAAGTCAGGTTACCAAATATGAAGGCATACGTGATCTGTTTATTTAGAAAACGATATGTGAGATGCTGGACTTCATCATTGTTCATATTTGGGGATAATACATAATGCAAGAAGTAAAAACCCCCAAGGGCACCAATTGTGCTTAACGTCTTGCTGATCTGTTCAGTCGGTTTTTCTGCTTGCTTTGCCTGAGACAAAACAAAGGAATTTTGACTGAAGGCCAAAGTAGCGATGATCTGCTATTGCTCATTAACGGTACAAAAATCCGGAACACTTCCACTAATATACCCACCTGAGGTAAAAATAAGGGAGACCAGTGAGATAGCCTCGTTATGTTTGATATTTGGACCTATACATAACGATAGATACACTACACAAGACAGAATAACAAGAAGGGTGACTTCAACACACCAACAGTCAATTTCCCTCTGTCAAGCAATATTTCAGCAGCGGCGACATTTTGTGAAAAGACTGTGGGTTCGGGAAAACTTAACCTCATGTTAAAATTGATGCAACAAATCCCTACAATAAGCCAATAGATCATACTCATCGTACCATCAACACAGTTTTCTCCAGTCCATCCGGCTGTACAGGAAGTTCCACAATGTCCATTGTCTGAGTCGCATTTCTCAGGTTGACATCCTTCATGACACTGATTCCTGCAATTCTGGCCATATGTGCCTGGTTGACATCCTGCAAAGAAAGTCAGAACCATACAAGACTGACAAGGTTACAATATACCTATGAAAACTGATTGCCGTTACGTTAGGTACAGACAAACTTACGTGAAGAGCAGTTTTCCCCATGCCACCCAGAAAGGCAGTTACCGGCACAGCTCCCTGTGACATGGTGGCAACTGCTACATTGACTGCGGCACCGGTTGTTACAACTTGGTCCATACCACCCTTTCCTGCATTCTTTTCAAAAGGAATAAAAATGACAAACATTCTGGGTGACATTCATAAAACTTTCTTAGCCCAAAGAAAATTTCATCTTTACGACTGACGATAAGAGATAATAACTCTTCATGAAGCTGTCATGAAGCTGAAGTTGTCTGTCATTATCACACACGTATTGCCAATCATCACTCAAACAGATCTTTGTTAGTACTATAGTAGTCCATTGCGTTGAGTGCTAAGCACCAATTACACCACAAACAGAGAATAATGCTGTGTTAGGATTGTAAATGTCGATCAAACCTTTTCTTATTGGAATTGCTTTGACAGAGTTTTCAAATCATTTACGACACACGTTTATGTCTGATCCATCCATTCAATACTAACAATGTGCACTGAGATTTGCATCCTTTAGTAAAAATTGTTTCACTCACAACAAACACATGTAAGAAGAGCGGAGTGGAAGTAGCATGTGATTGATATAACAGATTGAATTATCACTACTTACTGTTCAGACATTGCTGACCTCTCCATCCATCTTTACATTTGTAGTTACAATCACCGGTGACGCGGTTGCAGTGTTCAGGTTTACATCCCTCGTTACACGTCTTTGTACAGCGGTGTCCGTATGTCCCAGCAACACAAGCTGCAGATCAAGTAGTAATGAAATTTCAAACGTTTGATGTATAAAGAAGTTGGAAATTGCTTTCTCCTAGCGGTGTGTAACTACAGTCAAGAGATTGGTCACTCCGCCAGGTGGCGTTGATTAAGGGTATATATACTGAGTTAAAAAAGAAACTTCACAAAATGTAATTTGAAAATTAATGAATAATTTTTCACTGATGATACATCTATGTATCCGAAATGGGATCCCTATCTTTCGACTCTAGAAAAACGTTAGCAAAACCCACTCAAACCCATCCATTCGTCGTGCAAATGACGTTAGTGCCAAATCAGGTTTTGCACGTGCAGTCGATCACGTGATCTTCGCATCGAAGTTTTCTTCATATGCACATGTTTGCATTGGCCTCAAGAATTGAAAAAACACTTTTAAACCACAGTTCTAACGGTACCTGAAATGCCACGATTGTCAAATGTGCAACGTGAACGTGCCGTTGGCATGTTGCAAGCGGGAAGATCAGTTATTGACGTTGCAAGAGCAATGGGATGCAGTCGTCATACTGTGTATGACTTGTGAGGTCGTCTACAACAAACTGGCACCACTTCTGATAGCCCAAGGTCGGGTCGTCCACGTGTGACGTCACTAGCAGAAGACCGTCAAATCGTCCTACGTCACCTACGTGACAGATTTCTGCCGGCTACACGAACCAGGGCCGAGATGCTTAGATGTCGACTGTCCTCACAGACCAATCGAAATCGGTTGCGGGCTGCCAATCTCCATCTCGACGTCCATATCGTAATAATATTGACGCCGTTTCATCAACGTCAACGTCTGCTGTGGGCCCAACGTCACCTCCGATGGACCCAGAGAGACTGGAATCGAGTCGTCTTTAGCGATGAATCCAGGTTTACCCTCAGATTCGCGGACGGCAGGCATAGAGTCTGGAGACGACGTCGTGAACGGTATGCCCAATGTTGTGTACAGGAAGTCGACAGATTTGGGGGCGGAAGTTGCATGGTGTGGGGTGCTTTCTGTGGGAACAACCGTTCCCGACTTCTGGTCATCCGTGGAAACCTCACAGCTGCTGCTTACCGCGACCAGGTGCTCACCCCTGAACTCGTTCCTTTCATGGCGGCTCATGGCCCAGGTCTACAGTTCCAGCATGATAATGCTCGGCTGCATACCGCGATGTTGACACGAAATTTCCTTCAAAACGCTGGAATCAACGTCATGGACTGGCCATCGAGGTCCCCTGACCTTAATCCAATAGAGCACGTTTGGGATGCACTTGGGAGAAGGCTTCGTGTTCTTAGGAACCAACCACAGAATTTGCAGGAACTTGGCGCTGCCTTGCAAGAGCAATGGCGCAGAATCCCCAACCTAGTGTTCACAAGCATCAGGCAGTCGATGAGGAGACGGTGTTTGGCAGTGGTGAATGCGTGGGGCGGCCATACAGGATATTGAACTGCGAAATTTCGCATTTTTATTCTTGTGACTTGACATTCTGCATACCCATGTTTTGGAACGGCGTTGTAGCCTAATGGAACTGATTATGGCACTGTCAGTGTATCGAGTACATCACACAGATCTCAGCAATGGAATAATAACAATTTAACCATCTTACCATCTCTTGTTCTTTTATTGTGCCCTGAAGAAAGAATGTGAAGTTTCTTTTTTGACTCAGTATATAAGGTTGGCAAATTTGAATTCGTGCTGTCGCTTGTGCGAGCAAGACCTTGTAGCTTTAAAATGAACACCGACGCCAAATCAGACACCATCTTGAAACGGCTGAACGCAGATGAGGACCAATTGGAAGAATACTTCAACTCCCAACTTGGCGCTTTACGACAAGAGTTTACTCAAGCTTCTGCTGATTTGAAGAAACACAAAGCTAAGAACGATTATACGTGGTCAAGAGAAGGGAATAGAATACAGTTCAATTTCAACAGTGAGACAATAGACTCTTTGAATAATCTTTTGGCGGTTCAGAATCAACGTTACGAAGAGGCTGGGACGGTTCTGACGTCAGCAATGTGTCCATAAAAGAATTAACACTTTAAAATTGCGGATTCTAGTGAAGGGGGATGGAACACTGTGAGAAATTATGTTGCAAGTGATCTCGCTGATAACTCCTACGACGACAAAAGGATTACTTCGGCTGAGTTCTCACTACCGACGAGATTGCCCCTACAAACGTCAGCGTGTCTCAAGCCCCGGGGGTCACAGGCGGAGTCTCCACCCCAATAAGCAAACAGAAAAGATTTGTTAGTTAAGTATTCTCACTGTGTTGATGTTGAGATCAATTCATACAAACGAACTGACGACTATTATTAGTATGAGCAGGGTATATCAGATATAATTGTCAAGGGTCGGCTGAAAGAGAGCTTTTTTTGGTCGCCAAATTGGTGCGTCAAAATTTGTTATTGAATTGATTACTTTGGGGCATAAAAAATCATTTATGTCTACTCCTTCTTCTATGTTGACACCCAATAACAAGCCAGCTCTTAAAAACGATGATTTTGTCACGCAGGCTATTGAACAGCTGACGATGAAGCAGTTCATCGTGACCTGCCTTGAAACACCTACCGCAGGGAATCCATTAACTCCCTGTTCAATCATCGTGCAAAGAACGACTTATTCTTGACTTGTCCAGGGTGAATGTATTTGTTTTTAAAAGAACTGTGAAATGTGAAGATTGGAAAACTGCTTTGTGTTATATTGATAAAAGTTATTAGCTTAAACTAATTGACATCCACTCGGTTAATCATCATATTGATATTTAACCTGTTCAAGCAGATTACCTTGGTTTCGAGTGGCAGATAAAGCTGGAAGACTTTGCTTCTATAAGTTTATGGCTTTACCCTTGGGACTCATGTCAGCGGCTCATGTGTCTACGAAAGTGACTAGGTAGCTGGTTAAAAAGTGGAGGTCAGACGGACACAAAATAGTGACATTTTTTAGATGATAGTATTTTGTCTGGATCCTCATCATCTATGACATTTCAAGCAGGTTTTTGTACGTAACATTTGTTATATTTGGGATTACACTTTCTTAGTAAAGTACACATTCTAGTACTTTCTGAACTAAGCCCCACCCTCAGAGCCAGGCACCTAATGGCCAGCACACAAAGTCAGCCGCCCAACCCGCTCAGCTACCGCGACTTTGACCACTTTCTAAATGGCATTGTGTAATCACAGGTTTTTGTACCTAAAGTTGAGAAATCCCTGTGGGTCCTATCCCGGAATATCGAATGGTTAGGATTTTCTATTGACACTAGTCCGATGACTATTTCTGTCCCAAAAGGCAGGATCAACAAGGTTAAACTTGCGATTAATACTTTGCTTCAGTGTATTTCTGAGCCAGTCTGTGTAAGGTCAGTTGGTCAAATCATTGCCATGAAGTTAGTTGTGGGCCCGGTATAGCAACCTATGACAAGAACATAGCAAAATATGATTTTAGATACCTTGTACAATTAGCTACAGCTACAACTGTTGTTTATTCAGATGCAAGTGACGTTTGATTTGCAGGGTACCGTGTTAATGTAAATGTGTACCGAGTTGTAGTCAGTGGTCCAGTAAGAAAGCTAGGCTCAGTTCAACTTGGAGAGAGCTCAAAGCTGTGCAATTGGTGTTTGACAGTTTGATTTCAAAGGTTAAATGGTTCACTGGTAACCAGAATGTTGTTAACATTATAACAAAGGGTAGCATGAAGCAACATCTACAGTTCATTGCTCTGAAGATTTTCGATTTGTGCCTGAAGTATAGTGATGTGTTAGAGGTTCAGTGGATTCCCCGTTGTACTAACCAAGAAGCTGATGTTTGAGTCGGTTGATTGTGATGACAGGGGTGTTTCTCATGATGTTTTCTATAAAGTCGATGCTAGTTGGGGGTCTCATCATGTGGATAAATTGCTTCTTTCTACAGTACGAAGTTGCAGCGTTTCAATTGCAAGTTCAGTAATCCTGGGAGTTAAGCAGTAGATAGTTTTACAGTCAACTGGAGAGGAACTATGAGCTGGGTCGTCATGCCTAATGGTTTGATTCCAGGAGTTACCAGGCATTTGAAGGAATGTCGTGCAGCTGGTACTTTACTGATTCCCGATTGGCCTTCTGCATGTTTCTGGCCGTTGATATGTGCAAAAATGTGTTCATTCCACAGATCAAAGATTGGATGTATCTTCCCACAGTTAAGGAAGCGTACATAGCTTCTTGGCTACAAGGGGGTTGTTCGGCCAGAAAGATTTAGATTTTAATAGGCTTGCTCCGTTCATTGATTCTGTGTTTACAGAGGCTTTCCAGCATGTGTCCAGGGACGAATTGAGTAATCTCCCAGAAGGTGTTAGAGCACTGGCTGATGATATCCAATCAATGTTGTCTGGAGCTAGAGCTGATTCGACAAACAGAAAGTATCAGTTCGGGTCTGCTGCTTGGAAAGGGTGGGCTATATGTAATGAGATTACTTGTGATCGCCATTTCATTGAAAAATAAAGACTGACATTTACAGAGACTGTGCATGGGTCATTATAGGCCGTACGCAACCTGAACTTTGTCCAGTAGCTTGTTTACCACATTATCTTCATTATGGCTGCTATTAATTCTGATTCGGATCAGTATATTTCAGAGGTGTGACAAAATGTGCTTCTGGATATATCTTCAAGAAAGGAAATGTTCCTATCTCATATACAAGAATATGAGAGATATTTACTGATGCTTATGTTAATAACACCTAACAGTTTGGTTTGCATAGCTTGAGTAGTGGTGGAGCAACGGCGGCTGCAAATAATGGATTACCTGATCGAATGCTTAAACCTCATGGACGATGGAGAAACGAAAAAGCTAAAGACGGGTATATTAAAGATAGTATGGAGGATAGGACTCTTGGCCTATGACTTTCTTTGCATATCTCACCAGTCACAAGCGTATTCCAGTAAATTGCATTGTGTTGTGATGTTGTTGAACGATGGGGGTTAGGAGAAATGTCTACTAATGACAATGCATGCGTGATTGTTTAACGAATGTAGGCAGACGTGCTTACATCTATCATTCTATAAAGGGGGAGAGCATTCTGTTAGTCACTGAGAGCACAACGCTCTCACTATCAATCAATGACAGTTGGCAGAAAAATGTCAACAAACTTAACAAGGTCATAAATGACTAGCTATAAAGGCTGTACGTATTCCACGTGATAGTGATATTATCGTGCAATCGTTCCATGCCATTGTCCGAACTCATCACTTCAGACTTTCCCCTAACCGTAAATATGAATGGTTACATGATAGCGATATGCCTAAACTAAATAATTTCATTTCGTTACTAAAATGACACTCTCGTCATACACCAACAGTTTAAAGAAAAGACAATCACCACACTGACTGATTCTGAAAACTTCACAACTCAACTCCCACCTGTCCATCAACTCTAGCACACACATGGTTTTCGCCACAATGCCAAATGATTTGTGGTAGCCAACAGCGGGATGTTCAACAGCAAAACGTTCAAATAATGATCATGCATTTTCAAATCCTAAAATGTTAATAACATCAACATACCATCTACATCCGATATCCTACATATCGTTTACAGTCCTTATGGTTAAAGCGCCGAAGACCAGGGTTCGATTTCCCACATATGTACAATGTGTATGGCCAATTTCTGGTGTCCCTCGCCGTGATATTGACGGAATATTGCTAAAAGTGGCCTAAAACCATACTCACTCACTCACTTTATGAGTTTGGAGGCACAACCAATCTAGTCATAAGATCCGACCAAAGGCGTTTGTCAGCTAGTTTCCAGGCTTGATATTCACGATGAGTCGTTCAACCACAATTCGAGAGTAATGCTGATATTATGCTTGTGAATATCAATCAACCATTGTCCTATTGAATTGCCTGGACAGAGTTTTCAAACCATTATACAACACACGTTTTGTCTGATCCATCTATTCAATACCAACATCGTGTACTGCGATTTGCATCCGTCAGTAGAAATGGTTTCACTTATAAATAACACATGTAAGAAGAGCGAAAGGAAAGTAACATGTGATTGATGTAGATTGAATTATCACTACTTACGGTTTTCGCATTGCCAACCTGTCCATCCATCTTTACAGTCACAGTCACCGGTCACGTGGTTGCACGACCCTTGTTTACATCCCTCGTTACACGTCTTTGCACAGCGGGGTCCGTATGTCCCAGCCCGACAAGCTGCAGGTCAAGTAGCAATGTCTACTGATGACACTGTCCCGTGTGACTGCTTAACGAATGTAGGCAAATGTGCGTACATCTATCATTCTAGAAAGGTGAGCGTTCTGTCACTGAGAGTACATCGCTCTCACTATCAATCAATGACAGTTGACAGAAAGATGTCAACAAACTTTAAACCATCAAGAATGACTAGCGAAACAAGCTGTATGTATCCCACATGATAGTGACATTACTGTAGAATCAGTTCATACAATTTTCAGAGTCTCCCCCAACAGTAAATATCAATGATTATATAGTGATATGCCATAATTAGATTGAATTACGTTGCTGAAATGACACTCTCGTCATAAACCAACAGTTTAAAGATACGACATTCACCACACTCACTGATTCTGGAAGCTTACTTTGTTCACAACGATCACCTGTCCATCCTTCTTTACAGTTGCAGTAACCGGTGACGTGGTTGCAGGACTCCAATTTACATCCTGGGTTACACCTCGCGTTACAGTTTTGTCCATATGTCCCGGTATCACAGTCTGCAGATCAAGTTGTGTTCATTACTTTATAAACTGATGGATTAAAGAATGTGTACACCCATGGTTTGCTTTCTGCTACACTAAGGCGAAGAAGAGACGGTTATTCGAATGTACAAAATTCTCAAACATCTTGGAAATATGAAATCAGTTCCTGAATACCATCATACACATTTGTGGTTACAGTCACCGGTGAGTCGGTTGCAGTGTTCAGGTTTACATCCCTCGTTACACGTCTGTGTACAGCGGGGTCCGTATTTCCCAGCAACACAAGCTGCAGATCAAGTAGCAATGTAATGTGAGTAGTCTATTGATGACACTGTCATGCGTGACTGGTAAACGAGTGAAGGCAAGTGTGCGTACACCTGTCAAACTGTACAGCGCTTTCACCATCAATCAATGACGGTTGACTGAAAAATGTCAACAAATTTTACAAGGTCATGAGTGACTAACGAAAACGTTGCAAGTAACATGTAGAGCGATTACTGCGTATTAGTTTAAAGAATTTGTTTTCTGGAAATATTATGTTTATCAGTATGGCATCAAAAAACAGTTCCTATTTGAAATGCATTGTATCACCACTAGTGCAAGAATATGATTAATAATACTCTGTCGAGTACTCTGCCTGGGACCTTATTTTGGCCCTTACATAGGTCATGTAGGTCTAGGCCCTTGTTATGTATGGGTAAATCATGATTACAAAATGTGTGAGAGTGACTTCACACTGCTTTTAGCAACAGTCGTGTAGTATGGGATTCACACATTGCCCCCATATAGGGAATCGATCCTGGGCATTACCCATAACGACCAGAGTTGAACTACAATTAAACCACCCATGTAAAATAATAAACATCTGAGATATAGTTCTCATGAACATTATCTTTTCCGACAATTGTAATCAACACATACACAGGTGTTACCTAAAGGTGACACTAAAACCCGTATATGAATTGATCCTAATAAACACACACACATCGAAATGATTAAATGCCTGTGGTAACCAGGGAGACAGATATGCTGAAAACATTGCACTGTTTGTGATTCATACCATCATTCAAACTCTGAACGCAACTGTCTGGCTAAACTGTTTAATCCATTACTTTCACATACAAAGAGTACTCTTGTCTAACTGCTGTACACAAGAAAGAAGGAACACGCTTTTAGCAAACAATACATAATGCATTACTTGATCAGATATTGTATATTACCTTGATCACATCGTTTAAGTTGGGGATCAGTGTTCGTCCATCCGGGTTTACAACGTCCACCCGGACACTCTCCAGTGGAACTGTCACATGCCCAAGTCTCACACCCAGATGAACAGTCCTGTGTACAGTCAAATCCGTACTTGCCTCTGGCGCACCCTATCGTTGCACACAAGAGCGAGAGTTAGTAAGTACCCCATCGTTGCAAACAAGAGAGAGAGTTAGTAAGTACCCTATCGTTGCAAACGCGAGATAGAGTGAGGGAGAGAGAGAGAGAGAGAGAGAGAGAGAGAGAGAGAGAGTGAGAGAGAGAGAGAGAGAGACAGACAGAGAGAGACAGACAGAGAGAGAGACAGACAGAGAGAGAGAGAGTGAGAGACAGAGAAAGAGAGGGGAGGGCAGAGAGAATTAGTAAGTACCCTATGATTGCAAACAAGAGTGAGAGTTAGTAATTTGCAACCCTCCTTTATATTGTCATCGAATTACTAATGCTGTTTTTGATTACATGTATGATGAGTAAAAATCAGTCATAACTCAGTGGCTCAGTATACCCAATACTGTCCACTATTTGTTGTTGATTGTGAGTGGTTTGAATATATGTTCTTTTCTGTGTTTCAACGTACAAACTCGTATCTGTAGGATATTATATAGTCGAGCGTGAGGTTAAGTGTGTAGATTTTATCCCGAGTGAAATAATTTGCCCAAGATTTACTGAATCATCATCATCATAGGATATTTATATAGCCCACATATCCACGCACTAGTGCATGCTGGCGCTGGTATTTTTTCCCCTCGATCATTGGATGTCAATCTAACGGCACATCGTATTATCAATTTCAACTCCCTGGGGAGTATACAACTCTTGCAGCCACTAGGCTGGGACCAGCAGAGCTTCAACTATGAAATTATACTCTGTCTAAGCACTGACGCAAAGTGCATAGTAGACTAGACGCAACGGACAGCGAGTTCCAGGTGTTTCAAGTGCAGAATGTATCAAATGACAAATGAGTTGATGGGGTTAAAGCGTTTGCTCGTCACGCCGAAAACACGGGTTCGATTGCCCACATGGTTACAGTATGTGCATCCCATTTAGGTGTCCCTGCTGGAATATTGCTAAAAGCGGCATAAAACTAAACTCAGACAATTTATGAGATGTTCCAGGGGATACTAAAAACTTATATATTCGTCTTATTAGCCCAACCTCAAACTGCCTTTGCGGGTGCCAGTTGGTAGCTTTGATGTACCTGGATGTCAATACTTCAATATTTACAAATTATTTGTCCCCCTGGTATATTTTTCTAAAAAGAGTGATGAATAAATAAAATCCCAGTGTACTTCTACATACTTGTACCAGCTGTAAGCTGCATACCGGGTGCATGGAGGGCTCTGGGATGTTGCCAGCCGAAAACGACCATGTGCCAACGACTGTGCCGAATATGGTTATTAACGTGTAGAATTTCTCAGTTTAATGTTCATTGAGGAGGTTTATCCTCACTTTGCAATCAAGCCACCAAGGATTAACATGGATTAGTATTAACAGCGTTTATACAGGAGTGGTGTCAAATTCGCCCTAATTGGTGAACATATTTCACTTTGCAATTAGTGCCATGCCCTGAGATTCGTTAACTAAATTGGTGAAAATGAAAGCAATCACATCATGCACATGAGCGTCATTACGCATTGCAGCGACCGCATATACTGTTGTATGAATACAATTATGTTATATAATAAGCACGTGTCGTTCTTCAGTGCTTTGTGGAATAATTGTCGTCACATTAAAACTCATTTACTTGTAATTCCTATTATGTCACTCGAGGGAAATTAGTTTGAAGAAATGAAAATTACTTCAGTTTGACTAGCATTGGTTGTTGAAGACCACTGCTAACCCGGGCCTTCACGGGTTGTTGTTTTTTAAGCCAGGAAATCAAACGATAAGCGTTGACACACAACCATCCAGCTGTTTTGATAAGCAAGATGTTTCTTGTATGCAGTCTTCCCGAGCGTCTGTTCAGTGATCATGGGATTCAAATGTAGAATTTCTTCCGATAACGTTCAGTAGGATCTCGCCAGCCACAGGTGTATGTTACTAGGCACATTGGTAAAAAAAATGAATTAATTCCTACTTTATTTACGCTGGGAGATTGGTTACTTGAACTAATCTTACAAGCATCCTATATTTCAATCCCACTACTCATTCAAAATAATAAACATCTGAGATATAGTTCTCATTAATGAAATGATCATTTCCGGTAATCATAATCCACTTACACCGGTTTTACCTAAAAGTGACACAAAACACCGAATATAGATTGGTCTTAATAGCCACACACATCTCCTCAAAGTGATAAATTGCCTGTGGTAAACAGGGAGACAAATATGCCACGTAAACACTCCGTCTGGCTACATTTATACAGAACTTAAGTCCCTTACATGATGTAACTGGGAAGGCAGTAGATCCCGTTCCTTGATAAAGAAGGAAGAATCCAGATCTGACCATAGATAGTTGCAGCTTGTTAGCTATCCATGGCAGCATGTTCACGGTGCAAGTACTCTCAAGGTTACCCTCAAGACTATCCGGGAACGACACATCATCTGAGGATGGTTTAAGCGACTGGAAGCAACACCAAGCAGGACGAAATAGCATCAAGCTCACAGAAAGATCGGTTGAACGTTGACGAGTAGAAGAAAGAATGGGCTGTGAACATTATAGAACCATCTGGAAATCCAACTAGGGAAGGTCGACTGAGTGTCTTGTATACGATGATCTTAGAAGGATTTTTTTTCGTGTTTGTTGTTTAACGTCACATTTAGAAATGTTCCAGCTATATGGGGGCTATTGGGATATAATGACAGGTGTCAACCCTGACATACCAATCCCGTTAGCCACCTCTTACGACAAGCAAATGGGCTGCTGGAGAACTCGGACCTTCCCTGGGTATTAGGAGGCTGGGAGGATTGTAGACGAACAAAGCACGAGAAATGAATGGCCTAGAACGCGCAGAGACAACGTTCGTAACAGCTGTAAGATCCGTAAATGAGCTAGTGAGTGGGTGAGTGTAGTTTTACGCCGCACTCAGCAATATTCCAGCTATATGGTGGCGGTCTGTAAACAATCGAGTCTAGACCAGACAATCCAGTGATCAACAGCATGAGCATCGATCTGCGTAATTGGGAACCAAGTCAGCGAGCCTGACCACCCGATCCCCTTAGTCGCCTCTTACGACAAGCATAGTCGCGTTTTGTAGCAAGCATGGGTTGCTGAAGACCTATTCTACCGCGGATCTTCACTGGTCCGTAAACGAGCTAGGCCCATGAGATGGAAGCAGAGGATGTAACGACGATCAACTACATCATGTCGGAGAACCGTGAGGGTTGGGAGGCCTTCGAACAGCGACCACAACTGGTAGTTTGACCAACTGATCCGTGGAGACATGATGGACGAAAACAAGCGTTGTAAGTTCATGAGAACGCATATATTCCAGAGACATATCATATCATATATCAGTAACTGGAACAGGGGCGTATTTGAACGAGCCCTTCAGAGAGACTGAATGCGAGAAAGTGCTTCACGTGAGACAGTATAAGTTGAAAATTTTGGGAAACGCAAGCATGCATTTAGAACATAAAATGTACATAACATCAAATCGTTTTCAGAACTAATTGTTGCAAAACATGGAAGTCGATCAGTTTATTGGTTAAAACCTTTCTCCGCTGTACTGACTTCATACGACAATCACTTGACGTAACATTCTGGAGGACAATGTACTCACACTGCGTCGTGACATATACATTTAGCTAACGCCAATGCAAACATTGTCATTGTGATGAATATATGTTAACCTTGACTGATCTAATAACATTGTCTGAAGTATTTTTATTCAAATATTTACTCACAATGGCTGTGTTATAAATCGACCTAAAATGTCGTCTCAGTTTTAGCTGTGATTACTTACTGTCACACCTGTAATTAGACCCGGGCGTCCAGCCAGGTTTACAGTCTGTTCGTCCATTGTGTGCACACCTTCCAGTTTTCCGATCACACGAAAATGAAACACATCCAGGGGAACATGTCGAGGCACAGTTGGCACCATAGTAGCCGTCAGAACACTCTGTGTCAACAAGAGGATGGATACATTCCAGGATACAGATGGAAGATTTTGCTATCAGTAAATAGGATGTTTACCGACATCATAACAACCATGTCTATTTGAAATACATTGTGTCACCAATAGTGCATGAATATGAATAATAATAATCGGTCGAAATATCTGACTGGAACCTTATTTTGCTGGCAACGCGAATGGCGCTGACATAGGTCATGTAGGTCTCGACCCTATCTTTATGTGGGCAAATCATGATTAAAAAAATGTATTCCTGTGTCAATTACTAATTGGTGAAACGATGGAACTGCATTCTTCTTGCCTTATATCACGCAGCATAAAACATATTTTGCAACAATAATGAGAGTGGGTGCGTGGTCTTACACTGCTTTTATCAATAGTCTTGTAATATGAGCTTCACATATTGTCCCCATGTGGGGAATCAAACCCATGCATTCCCCGTGACGATCAGAGTTAACTACTAGGGTACCCCACTTAAAATAATTTAGATCTGAGATATAGTTCTCACGGACATAATCTTTTCCGACGATAGTAATCAACACATACACAGGTTTTACCTAAAGGTGACACAAAACCCCGTATATAAATGAGTCTCAATATCCACTCGCGTCTCCCCGAAATGATGAAATGCCTGCAGTAAACCTGGAGACAAATATGCCGAAAACAATTACATTCTTTTGTTAATTTATACCATCATTCAAACTCTGAACACAACTGTCTGGTTAAACTTTTTAATCCATTACTTTCACATACAAATGGTACTCTTGTCTAACTGCTGTACACAAGATAGAAGGAACACGCTTTTAGCAAACAATACATAATGCATTACTTGATCAGATATTGTATATTACCTTGATCACATCGTTTAAGTTGGGGATCAGTGTTCGTCCATCCGGGTTTACAACGTCCATCCAGACACTCTCCAGTGGAACTGTCACATCCCCTGGACGGACACCCAGATGAACAGTCCTGTGTACAGTCAACTCCGTACTTGCCACTGGTGCACCCTGTTGTTGCACACAAGAGAGAGAAATAGTAATTTGCAATCCTGCTTTGTATTGTCATCGAATTGCCAATGCTGTTTTCGATTACATATATGCTTATAAAAACCAGTCATAACTAATTTCAGAGGCACAGTATTCCCAATACTGTCTACTATTTGTGGTGGATTGTGATTGATTTGAAAGGAAAAGAAGATGACTCCCCAAAAATTGATGACGTCACCGTAAGAGCTCCCAAATTGTAAATGCTAAACTAATTTGTAACCACATGCAACCTACGCTGAAGCCGACTCTATCTGGTGGGTGGATCACAGAAAATCTCAACAGGTGTTCGCGCAAATGTTGTGCCCTATCGTCCGTACTCAGGATTTGCATTAACAAGTAAGTGTTCGTTGCCTGTCCCCACACAGTAGTACTCCTGCCATGTTGTGACATGTAAACAACCAACAAACAGTCAAGACATGTTAGGGGGAAGATTCGCATTTTCAAGCAAGGATGGTGCCACCAGAATACATGTAGGTGTAAAACTATTGCTGTACCTTGTTACTAAACTGCATATTGACTTCAATATATATCACAGAGTAAGTTTTTTTAAACCCCTGACCAATGCCCCAAAATATATACCGTCCGGATTCACGATTTGCATTAAAAAGTACGTATTTATTGCCTGATACTCTACTGCAGTTCCCCTGTCAGGCGACGGTGGCATGTAAACAACCAACAAACAGTCAAGACACGGTAGGTGGTGAGGGACATTCCATATCATGGATAGTGCCATCAGCATACATTAAGTGGAGAATTTGGGACAATACCGATTGTTGTACCTAGTTATTAAACTGCATATAATACATCCCAACAATGAGTTCAATATATATAATAGTGTCTGGAAAACAACAGTGTCATCAGTGTCAACAATCAGGATACACTTTAGGACACAGATTGAAGATTTTGATTTTAGTAAATTGGATGTTCGCTGACATCATAACAGCTATGCCTATTTGAAATACACATTATGTCACAAATAGTGCATGAATATGATGAATAATACTCAGTCGAAACATCTGACTGGGACCTTATGTTGCTGATTATGCGATTGGTCCTTACATAGGTCATGTTGGACTGGACCATTGTTTTGTATGGACTAGTCGAGAATCAGAAAACGACGACTCGAATCCTCCCGGAGCTGTGAGTTAGAATATTTTACTCAATGGTGAAACGAAGGAACAGCGTACTTCTTTCATAATATCACGAAAGGTACAAGCATTGTTTGCAACAATAATGAGAGAGAGCATACTTTTATGCAACTTTTAGCACTATTCCAGCAATATCACGGCCGGGGATAACAAAATGGGCTTTACACATCGGGGGGATATCGAACCTGAGTCTTCCGTGTGACGACAAAAGTTCTAACTACAAAGGTACTCCACTACCCATTTAAAACAATAAACATCTGAGATATTTCTCATTAATGAAAGAATCATTTCCGGTAATTGTAATCAACTAACACCGGTTTTACTTTAAGGTGACGCCAAAACACGTACATCTATGGTCTAAATAGGCACACACGTGTCCTCGAAATGATGAAATGCCTGTGGTAAACTGGGAGAAAAATATGCCGAAAACCTTCTCCCTTCTTAGCATCATTTCTACCCCGAACGCAACAAATCTATGATACCGTCTGCTATTTTCATTGTAATAATATACTGTCCAAAGAGTACTATAATCTAAGTCCAAACTGCTGCACGGCAGAAAGAAGGGACACACCCTAACCATAGAATACCTGAAATAGTATCCTCATGGTAAAATGTCTACGCTACATACCCAGAGTTTGTAAATACATGCAACCTACACTGAAGCCGACTCAATCTGGTGGGTACATCACTGAAAATCTGAACAGGGGTTAACCCAAATGTTCTGCCCTACCGTCGGTATTCAGGATATGCATTAACAAGTAAGTGTTTGTTGCCTGTCGACACACAGTAGTACTCCTGCAATGTTGTGACGTGTAAACAACCAACAAACAGTCAAAACATGTTAGGGGGAAGATTCGCATTTTTAAGCAAGGATGGTGCCACCGGAATACATGCAAGTGTAAAACTATTGCTGTACCTTGTTATTAAACTGCATATTGACTTCAATATATATCACAGAGTAAGTTTTTTTAAACCCCTGACCAATGCCCCAAAATATATCATCTCGTCCTTCGTCTTTCCATATCAAAAGGGTGCAATTGTAAATCAGGAAATATTGATAAGAATATCTTAATCCACTACTTTGGGACTTCGCTTGGGATTGTGTACGCGAGGGGAAAGGAAATGCAAGAAGGCATAAGGTAATTCCCGAAAGGAAACCTTCACATGAAATTGTATTCTTTGAAACGGTTTCTGGACAAAATATACATTTTATCCTCACAGGTGTAGCATGGCGTAGGGGCAAGACATGCTAAAGTGAGTGAGTGAGTTAATTTGTTATATTTTATATCGCATCGGCAATATTGCAGCCATATCGCGACGATAACGAGTTGAGTATAATTAAATGTCAGTCAACAAAAACAGTATGTTCAGTATCACAGTTTAGATATAAAAGAAACCAATTCAATATTTTTAAAGATACCTTTGTCAGCATATCAACTGGCATGAATTAAAACCAGGCTATAGGCCACTGGTGACAAAAGTTAGTCCATCTTCCTGGGGATCCAGGGGGCGATATGATTTCCAGGAGGATTTACGAGATCACTTTGACCACTAGTGGCTTTAAGCGATTCTAATCAATATTAAATATGTAACTACAATTTAGTTATTGAAACGCTAGTCGATGTTATATACTTCAATCAATGTGGACTCAAGTGTCACTGTCAGGGGGACAATACTTTTACACTATTTTAACTCCCTGAGTGGCACTGCCTTTAATAATCTCAGTTGGTGATAATAGCACCACAAGTTTCAAAATTTATCAAATATTTTTATTTCTTTAAAAAAAATCTAGAATTAAAAGAGGAGTGATGCTCATTAAAATCTTGTAAAGAAGATGATTAAGTATCCCTTATCAGAGAGAAATCAATACAGTCAAGCAAAATGTGCTTGACTGTTTCTGTCATCAATAGGGACACAAAATAGAGTATCTTCACCTTTTAAAAAATGTTCATGTATGAAACGCGTATGGCCAATTCGACATCGTCACATTACTACTTTGTCATGTCTTGAATAACATCCCAAGTAGGTATAACCTAATTTCATCAACCTTGCATATGCCTACTTGGGTGTTCCACTCGCTTGCATTAACTGTCTGATGTAGTCTTTGATGTATGTTTGAAATCGGAATGAGGTATCCGTAGTTGAGAGACATCTTCTCGTGTGTTACCTGCAGTGCCAACATAAGACGATGTCTAACCGGCCAGTAGAGAGCTTATCATATACTTAAAAAAATATCAAGTATCGAAGAATGTTTTGGAGTTAAAGACGATAAATTGTTAGAATGTTAGAGACGATGATCAATTGTTTATATTTAGTTTAGTGCTGAATGTATTCCAGCGCTATTTGGATCGCCTTGGCTTCAGCAGTTATAATAGAACTGTTATCAGGAATCCTGGGAGATATGAATTGACATCCGATGACAGTGCCACTAGAAACCTTGCCACTATCCTTAGAATCATCTGTAAAAGTCGATTGATGAGTAATATATTTAGCTCGCAATTCTCCGTATTCTTGGTTTTAGATAAATGGGTTTGTGTCATATTTTTAAAACTTAATGAATGAAAGGTCTGATTATTTGCCAAGGACGAGTAGACAGAAGCTGGTAAGGCGACACTGCATTTGATAACATAATGTTTGATCCAAATACCATGTTGCGGGACAACATTGGATTTATTATCAAATAATTGGTCACAGAGAGGAAGAAAGATAACGCTATTAGCTGGATTGGATGGATTAGAACGTAACTTAGTTACACATTGAAGTGATTATTTGTTTAAACAACGTTGTTTAAGTGACGGCTTATCAGCTTAAGCGTACAAACAATGAGTGAGTGGGGTGGGTTTAACGCCGCTTTTAGCAAGATTCCAGCAATATCACAGCGGGGAACACCAGAAATGGGCTTCACACATTGTGGCCATGTGGGGAATCGAACCCGGGTCTTCGTCGTGACAAGCGAACGCTCTAACCACTAGGCTACCCCACCGCCCCTCGTACAAACAGTCTACCGGAGATGTTATATACGCTCCAAGACAGAGCCTCAGTCCGTCGTGGTGTATACTATTTCCGAAGCGCTGTCATATATACTGATTCAAAAAAAGAAACTTCACATTCTTTCTTCAGGGCACTATAAAAGAACAAGAGATGGTAAGATGGTTAAATTGTTATTATTTCATTGCTGAGATCTGTGTGATGTACTCGATACACTGACAGTGCCATAATCGGTTCCATGAGGCTACACCGCCGTGCCAAAACATGGGTAGACAGAATGTCAAGTCACAAGAATAAAAATGCGAAATTTCTCAGTTCAATATCGTGTATGGCCGCCCCGCGCATTCACCACTGCCAAAACACCGTCTCCTCATCGACTGCCTGATGCTTGTGAACACGTGGTTGGGGATTCTGCGCCATTGCTCTTGCAAGGCCGCGCCAAGTTCATGCAAATTCTGAGGTTGGTTCCTAAGACCACGAAGCCTTCTCCCAAGTGCATCCCAAACGTGGTCTATTGGATTAAGGCCAGGGGACCTCGATGGCCAGTCCATGGCGTTGATTCCAGCGTTTTGAAGGAAATGTCGTGTCAACATCGCGGTATGCAGCCGAGCATTATCATGCTGGAACTGTAGACCTGGGCCATGAGCCGCCATGAAAGGAACGAGTTCAGGGGTGAGCACCTGGTCGCGGTAAGCAGCAGCTGTGAGGTTTCCACGGATAACTAGAAGTTGGGAACGGTTGTTCCCACAGAAAGCACCCCACACCATGCAACTTCCGCCCCCAAATCTGTCGACTTCCTGTACACAACACTGGGCATACCGTTCACGACGTCGTCTCCAGACTCTATGCTTGCCGTTCGCGAATCTGAGGGTAAACCTGGATTCATCGCTAAAGACGACTCGATTCCAGTCTCTCTGGGTCCATCGGAGGTGACGTTGGGCCCACAGCAGACGTTGACGTTGATGAAACGGCGTCAATAGTGGCCCACGATATGGACGTCGAGAATGGAGATTGGCAGCCCGCAACCGATTTCGAATGGTCTGTGAGGACAGTCGACATCTAAGCATCTCGGCCCTGGTTCGTGTAGCCGGCAGAAATCTGTCACGTAGGTGACGTAGGACGATTTGACGGTCTTCTGCTCGTGACGTCACACGTGGACGACCCGGCCTTGGGAGATCAGAAGTGGTGCCAGTTTGTTGTAGACGACCTCACAAGTCATACACAGTACGACGGCTGCATCCCATTGCTCTTGCGACGTCAATAACTGATCTTCCCGCTTGCAACATGCCAACGGCACGTTCACGTTGCACATTTGACAATCGTGGCATTTCAAGTACCGTTAGAACTGTGGTTTAAAAGAGTTTTTTCAATTCTTGAGGCCAATGCAAACACGTGCAAATGAGATGAAGAGCCTTCAAGCACTTAGTTTTAAGATGTTTAATGTGGGATAAAAAGGTAAAATATCGGTAAAAAAGCCATAAGAACTTCGTTTCATCCACAACTTTGATAGGGGTACCACTTAACAAAATTCCTGTCTTCATATGATCTATAATTCCCACAAAAATGTATGCAATTTGTCCTAGTCATGGAAAATGTAAGACCGTTTTCTAGTGAACACTTTTGAATTTTACTGAGTTGCAGTCTTTCTATTGTGTGCATAGTTTTACCTCGACAAGACACGTGGAAGTCATCTTCAAACAGTGAACCATCAAGTGAGTCGTTCAATACCTGAGAGAGACTGGTAAATCTAATGCTGAATAATGTGACAGACAGGATGCTGCCTTGTGGAACACCCTGATACTGATTATAATGGTCTGACAGGATTGATCCAACACGAATTGAGGCACAAGACCTCTCAATCCAAAATCCTAAAGATCTCTTAAAGTGCCATGCTTCCACGTTGTATCATACGCTTTTTCTACATCGTAAAAGATATCAACAGCATGATGTTTACTTATGATGAATTTTTTTAACGATTCTAGATGCAGAAGGTGATCAATGGTACCAGACTATTCGATTATTCACCATACGCTCCATAGTTTTGCGGACCCAGCTAGTGAGAGATATTGGACGGCAATTAGATAGCTCTGTATTCGTATAGGGCTGAAATTATGTTAGTGGGCTGGTTTGATTTGATCCATGTCAAATTAGTATGAACAGAAAATGATGTGCAGAATGAGCAACAAATGCATACAAAGTTTTATTGAGTTTTGAGTGTAAACAAGTTCCTTTTTCATGTTTTAACTTTAGTATTTTGGATTGTTATTGCCACAGAGGACATAACCTTGATGAAGCTACATGTTGACTTGTGCAATTTGCGCATTTGATTTCTGCTGAGCAATTTGCGTCCCCATGTCGCTCTCCACAACGGTGACAAACAGCAGATCGATTGCAAGACTGGGATCCATGTCCATATTTTTTACACTTGAAACATCGGAGTGGATTGGGGACTTACATCTCCTCTCCGATGTTGACATACCAGCTTTTATTCATTTAGGTAATTAGATCGGTATTTGACGCGATGACATCAACGTCTCGTGTCTTCATTGTAAAACGTTTGAACGTCACTCCCTTTTTCAGTTCGTTTGAATTATCTTCCTAAGCCATGTCGGACAGGCAACGGGCTCTGTGACGCACAATCCCTAGGCAAGAATATCCATATCGCCAAGACCTATCCAATGTATACCTTGTTCCGCCTCCTCAACATTGGCTTCCTCCCATTGTTATTGTATTATTACTTACCCCATCTGTTATGTATACCCTGTTCCGCCTCCTCAACCTTGGCTTCCTCCCATCGTTATTTTATTATTACCTGTCCCATTGTTGTTGGTGTTAATCCCTTTGATGCATTCCCTCATGTTGTCTTACTTAATTCCCTGTTACATGTACATAAGTCTGTTCTGTGCTGTATGACTTTACTCCTGCTTGACAACGGTATAAGAAGCTATACCGAAACGTTGCACCATAACAAATAAAGAAGTTATCCATAAAGTATGATACTTTACTATTATCCATCGACTTCTAAAATGCCAACCAAACAGAACATTTTAACTTAACATATTCCATCATGTATATTCCAATATTTACAATTCGAAATAGGGAAAAGAGTTCCGCATAACCAAATAAGTGCACAAGGGACAAGGATGCATCCCCCCCAAAAAAAATTTAAAAAAATAAAATAAAATAAAACAAAAAAACAACAGAATTAAAAGAAAGAAATTAACACAAAAAAACAAACACACACACACACACACAATATGATCGCAGTCATGATTTCCAGGAGGGTGACATAACACTACAGCATAAATATACATAAAGCTTATGTCCTTATACTAGTTCCCCTGTAATTAATGTAAGAGTAAATATCCTTAAGGAACAATGTTATATGTCCAGCACATTATATGAAATCGGATTAAAAATGTAATAAATCCCTCACATGTAAACTTGGAATTCGAATCTGGATCTTGTTTCATAAAAAATCATGTTTAAAAAAGAAAGTAGCTTCTACCATAGTTTCGATATTGATTGTAAATAAAATGACAAAGATATTTCCAGCTTGCACATTATATACCTTTCAAGAAAAAGATCAAATCCAACGATATCAGTAATTTGTTTTTTAACATGTATATTCTCTGGCAGTCTGTTTAGACATTGAGGCGGCAAAGGTAGTACTTTGTAACAATCGTGAAGTACCTGTAGGTGTTGGAGGTGAGCTAGAAGCTGCAGATGACACCAGTGTGACCTTTGATGTCGACATTTGTCCAGGATCAGAAGTGTCTTCTGTAAGTAAAACGAGTGATTATTAAATCCAGCTCAGCACAGCAAAAATCACACCGGTTCTATATTACGACCCCACTCTAATACCCCGCCACAGTTTAACAGGAATATTCCACCAAAACAAGCTACTGACTCTGAGATGGCTAGTCCTTTTTCCCTGCTCAGTGTCTAGAGACAACCAGGATAAAAACAAAAACGACATGGGTGATGTATTTTAGAATGATGTGATTAGAGATCTAACCCCGAACCTTCCGTTAACCAGGCAGACGCTCAGTCCACTGGGCCACATAGAGACTTAACATTCATATATGTATATATATATCAACCTCATCGTGACTATAACATGTTATACATTGATATTAAACAACTAGAAAACGGAGTCGATAGCACGTTAAAAAACGCAGAGAGGTATTAGCATGTCACCGACATGAACTATGTGAGTAAACTAATCCAGAAAATTCCACAAACATCTTTTCATTGTCATAGGCCGCCCATCTATAGTTTGGCATGAAATGCATGTGGACCCGGTTTTGTGTAAATATCTCTTCATCCAATGACCCAATCGATCTCAAACTGTGCAAATGGATGTTTTGTCAGACAACCTAATGACATTGTAAATCACCGATTTTATGCATTTGTATTAAAGAATCTGTCTATGTAACTGTCAACAAAATAAACAGCAGAAGGCTTGCAGAGGGAGGGAGCAATGACCTGTAACAGCGGCAGTGTTTCGGGCCCAAAATATGACATTATTAGATTCACTGACCTAAATCCAATAGAAAATGTTTTGGGACTTATGAAGGAAAGTGTCAATAAGAAAAATCTGACAAATATTGCTGAAATGAAAGAAGAGGTGGTCCGATATTGGGACAGCATGGACCACGACTTTCTAACTTCTTTGATGAGTAGTATGCCCCGCCGCATTGAAGCCTGCATTGCTGCCCATGGTAACTTGACAAAATACTAACTGTTCATCTGTCTTTGAATCTGGAGTTATGTCCTGCTAATATTCACATTTAATACGTTTTTGAAAACCAATACCAATGGGTATAGACCCAACCCGATCACTAATGTAGTGATGGGTGCTTCTTCACTCGTACGTCGGGTACCATTGGACTGGCCATCCGATGCTGCTCGTATGTTTCAGGGTGTGACCGTGGCACGTGGTCAGCTTACCTACCAGATCTAACAGGTGACAGATGACAGATCGATAATGGACACAGACGAGAACAGATGTACTTAGCTGAACCCTAAAGTTTGATCTCCCCATTCATCGACGCTTACCAAACGCCTTTCCCTTTCACTAGGCTTTCACAACAATGGCGCTGTGAACAGGATTAAGCCTATTTGTGAAATTTGCGACAAGATAAATATGTCACAAGGACTGATGAATGGGTCACGTGATGTCCTTATATAGAGCAAAAAGTCGCTGTTGAGCGTTGTCAGCTTTTTCATTGGCTAATAGAGTAAAACCAAAATGCTCTTTAGTTTTCTATTTATCGCAATAAAAAAACATAGTAATACTAAAGGGTGTTGATGTATCCAGTATCCATGTCGACCGCTGGAAGCTGCATGCCTCGCACCCGGCGTATTACGTTGTAAATGTCATGGTGTTGATTGCAGTGTTTCGATGTACCCAGCTGTCAATCACTTTCGCTGGATACATGGCAACACTGCAGCAACGTTCACATGGCTTTGGGTGTTTTGTATTTAATATGTTTAGTGTTGCCAGTATATATACATTTATATTATTATTACACATATTATGTATAATTACATTAATGCACATTAAAAAGCGGGTAAGTTTTCTGCAGGCCTTTTTATTTATAAATGGGCTGGCAGGTATGTATTCACTGTGCATTATTGTTTATACAAGGCTTCAGGTTGACACTTCTGCACTCACTCACTCATTCTTATGAATGATAGTGGTTAGCTGTCACGTGAACCTGGGGTATACTAATGTATGATATGGTACGTTTTGTATTGTTTATACAAGGTGTTAGATTGACACTTCTGCACTCACTCACTCTTGTCAAGACTGACTGACAGTGTAACATATGTTATATTTACACTTTCTCAGTAAAGTACAAATTCTAGTACTTTTTGAGTTGAGCCCCATCCGGGATTCGAACTCACACCATCAGAGTCAGGCACCTAATCGCCAGCACACAAAGTCAGCCGCCTAACACTTTCTTAGTAAAGTACAAATTCTAGTACTTTACTAAAAAACTGTAATCCCATATATAACATGTTACATTTGACCACTTTCTAAATGGCATTGTGTAATCATGACTGACTCACCTAGGCCTGGTGTGTGTATTAATTACTTATTATTTATATCCATTTGGTAAGTGTGGTAGCTTGTGCAACTTGTTAGTGTTTATTTATTATCATTTTATGATCATGTTAATGCTATGCATGAAATATGATTGTGTTTTATTAGCATAGGTCAAGCGTTTGATTGTGTAAATGTTTCACCCTAGTGTGGCCAGGTTGCATTTCAGCGTTGGACGCTCGCTGACCATACACATTATTTTGAGGTATACCTTCTGCCATTGTTCACTGCTGGTACGGTTCTGTTATCTTGCCTGCAATGTTGTGTGTGCATCTGTAAGTCTGGTAGTGTTAGGCAAGGGTAGCTTACGCTGGGTTGTCTGTCCTCCGGGGAACGATGTCGTTCACTTGGTTCTGGTTTGTGAAGCCTGTAAGTCCGGTTGCTGACAATATGCCATCCACTTTAATGCTCTGTCCTTAATACGAACGGCAACATTCTACTGATCCGCAGTCAGTATATTCGGCAATGTGGAGCATTCTTCACGATCAACTGGCGCTCTTCGGACAATGGGCATCACAGTCTGCTGCCATTGCCACGCCCTGTCAATGTAGCATAGTGTTGTTTGGGTTGGTATCAGTTCTCTATTGGTAGTGGCTGTGGTTGATCGTGTATGTCTCGGGTCTTCTCTGCCGCCATGGTCTCATTTGCTCAGGTGTAAGCCCGTCGCACAAGTTGTAACATTCACTTTCTGTCCTTTGACATACATAGAGTTTGTCTTATCCATAATATTGGCAACTCTTTAGCTAGGTTAGTTGAAAGGTATGCAGCAACCATGTAAGTACCTACAAGTCAGCTTCGTCTTACCTTAGGTTGTAGTACTGCGTAAGGCAAAAGCAATTAGTGGCAGGTGAACATCCCATTCTTCCTGATCCTTGATGAGTGAGTGAGTGAGTATGGTTTTGCGCCGATTTAGCAATATTCCAGCAATATCACGGCGGGGGACAACAGAAATGGGCTTCACACATTGTACCCATGTGGGGAATCGAACCCGGGTCTTCGGTTGATCCTTGATGAAGCAGCGGACAGCATCCATGAGTGTGCGATTGAAGCGTTCTACCTGGCCGTTTGATGATGGGCGATAAGGAGTAGTCCTGGTTTTGTGAATTTGGAGTGTGTCACACATGGCCTTGAACAACCTACTCTCAAAATTCCTACCTTGATCAGTGTGGATAGCAAACGGCAAAAGAATTCATTGACTGCACTGCGGGCAGTTTCCTCAGCCCCTTGTGTGAAGGCAATGGTATACATTCGACCCATTGGGAAAACTGGTCTACGATCATCAGAATGTGTTCATTGCCACGAGGCGTTCTTGGCAATGGGCCCAAATAATCTAAATGAACCCTCTCCACAGGAGCACCTCCATGGAAATTGGTCATGGAGTGTTTTGTCGTCCTTTTGCCCTTCTTTTGCGAGTTACACTCAGAGCAAGTGGATACATGAAGTTGAATGTCACGCGACATACCATACCAGTGATAATTGGGTTTGAGCCTAGCCTTGGTTCGCTTCTGCCCCTGGTGACCTGCTGAGGGAATATTGTGATGCAAACAGAGAACATCATGGTGAAGATCCTTTGGGATGACCAATTGACGTTTGGAGTCTCCAAAATGATATCCAGATCTGTGTCATTCCTCTCAGCATTGACGATGTTATCTCTAATGTGGGTGTGAATCTCATCCTCAGAGTACCAGATCCCCCTTGAGAGCTTGCCTGACCCTGAAATCTGAGTCTGTTCTGGCAGATACAGGGTAACCCTCATCGACGGACGCACAACCTCCAGCGGAGGGTAATGCTCCTTCAAACACCTGGTTTTTTGGTCAATCTGTCGAAGGATATATTCAGGGCGCCATCAGGGGTTACAAGAATGTTGGCACCTGGAGATGCTGACCTGAAATTTGGAGACTCATTCATGTTCCTCACTGATTGGGTGTCTGTCGGGTCGCACCTGGAACTTGATTGGTCTACGCAGAGAGGCTTGTCATTCCCAGCTGGAGATAGCGATTCACTTGTGGATTGAGTTTCGCCTCCATTGGAGGATAGAAGAATGTGTTGATTGTATCAAGAGTTGGATGTCATCGAAATATCTTAAATTAAATGATGATAAAACTGAGCTCATTGTGTTCCACCCTCTTCGACTTCAGAAAAAGCTTCTGCTTCCACAGTTTTGCATCGGTGAATCTGCAATAAAAATTCGGCCACATGTTCGCAATCTTGGTGTAATCTTTGACTCTGCCCTCAGCATGGAACCCCATGTTCGCAATGTCTGTCGCCAATGTTATTTCCATCTGCGCAACATTGGTTTGATCCGCCGATACTTGGATGTGAAATCTGCACAAGCTCTAGTTCAAGCATATGTAACATCCCGCTTGGATTATTGTAACTCTTTGCTGTCTGGTGTGCCAAAACAAGTCCTCTACAGGCTACAGAAGGCACAAAATTCAGCCGCACGATTGATCTGTCAAATTAAATGGACTGAACACATCTCTCCTGCCCTCAAAACCCTACATTGGCTTCCAATTCGCTTCAGAATCGACTACAAAATCCTGCTCCTTGTTTTCAAGTGTCTAAACGGTCTAGCTCCAAAATACCTCTCGGATCTCCTTACACCATATCACCCAACTAGATCCACTCCGCTCAAGGGACCAGTCTCTCTCCTTGAAATACCACAAACTAGAACTAAGTCATATGGGGACAGGTCTTTCTCTAGAGCAGGACCCTTCCTCTGGAACAATTTACCATCCATCCTTCGTTCCGAAACAGAACTGTCAAATTTTAAAAGTGGACTCAAGACGCACCTATTCACCTCTGCACATGGATAAAGTGGACTCAGATAGCGCTTTTGAGCAATTAGATTGATAAAAAGCGCTTTACAAATATTTGTATGTATGTATGTATGTATGTATGTATGTATGTATGTATGTATGTATGTATGTGTATGTATGTATGTATGTTGGAGGGTGATTGAGTGGTCAAAAAGAGTACTTGGTGAGTGGGATCTTCGGGGCACTTGGGACCCTTGGACAGTGGCAGCACATCATCAACAGATTGGCGAAATTCATACCAGTTCTGGTGAGCCTTCATACAGTACTTGCAGCCATGGCAAGGGAGCTGCAATGGAAGGACATCAGTGTCTACATTTGGGCAGGCTGTCCGAGGTGAACGGTGGGATAGGGAGTCAGCATTACAGTGCTTGAAGCCTGGCCGATGAACTACTTTCAGGGAATACTGGCTCAATTCCTCAAGCCATCTTGCAGGCTGACCGTTAGGTTGTTAAACATTCATGAGCCACTGCAAACTGCTGTGGTCCGTTCTGAGCGTAAACGGTCGGCCAATTAGGTAATGCCGATAGGCCCTGGTGAACTTCACAACAGCTAGCAGCTCCTTTCTCGTAGTACAGTACTTGAGTTGTTCTTTTGACAGAGACAGCCTTCCATAAGCGATGACCTTTTCAACACCATTCTGGACTTGAGTCAGTTCTGCACCGAGAGCACAGTCAGATGCATCAGTGTCTCAAATGAACGGATCATCCATGTTGGCAATTCCCAAAACTGGAGTGGACAGCAGGGCATCCTTTATTGCTTGGAATGCCTGGTCACGTTCATCAGTCCAGAGGAAAGTTTTTCTACCCGTCACCTGGTACAATGGCAAAGCCAAGTCAGCATACTTTGGTATAAACTGCCGATGATAGTTTGCCAGTCCTAGGAAGCATTCAATGTCCTTGCAAGAGTTTAGGGTTGGCCACTGCACCACTGCGCTGACATCAACTCCTGCTTCAAGGCCATTTGGACCAACTTTTCGTCCCAGGAACTCGACACTCACTTGAAAAAGTTCACATTTCTTCGGCTTCAACTTGAGTTGATACTTCCTGAACCTCAAAACAAACCTCTCGGAGGTTGTCAAAGTGGCAGTCAATTGTTTTCCCAAGAACCAGTGTGTCATCCAGGAAAGCCAGGACTATTTTCCAATTCAGCCCAGCTAGAACTAAATTGATGTCACGATCAAAGGTGGCTGGGGCATTACACAGACCAAAGCTCATCTTGGTGAACTCAAACAAGCCATATTTAGCGATAAACGCAGTCTTGTGTCGGTCCCCTGATTTGATAGGAATCTGCCAGTATGCATTATTGGCATCAAGCTTATATACCACATATTGCCGGAGAGTGATTCCAGACATTCTTCTATGAGTGGCAGAGCAAATACTGTCTTACGACATCGTAGATTGACCTTACGGTAATCTAAGCACCACCTTACTCTGCCACATCTTTTCCTCACTAGTACAGGTGATGCTGCCCATTCTGAGGTGGAGGGTTGGATAACCTGAAAATCAAGCATCTTCTGTAGATGACTTTCCTCCTCGTGTGCAAAGCTTGGCGGACTTCGTCTCATCCGTTGCTTCACAGGTGCGGCATCACCTGTGTCAATATTGTGCTCTATGGCTGTGAAGTTGCCCAAATTTATGTCATGGGAAGCGAACACATCCTGGAATTCAGTGAGCAGCCTCTCAAGCTTTTTCACATCGTCTTCTGTGAGCTGTGCTGAAGATCGATTGAGGAGGTCTCGAAGGTGCCCTGGTACAGAAGTAGCTTCAGCTGACTGACGAACACAGGACAAGTTGTCTTGATTGTGGTGAAATTCGGGCACTCAGGTGTTACACCACGTGGTGTAGATGTTGTCACTGGTGTTGGTGTCTGTACCTGAGCAGAAAGTGTACTGTCAGACTGTTGTAGATCCCTCCTTGGAGACTGTGGAGACATGCAATACTCATTCCCTCCTGATAAAGAGAGAGATTGTGGGACCTCCCGCGAAGCATGCATCAGCCCCTGTGGAACATATGGACGTCCTCTTGAGGAAAGACTTTGCCTTGACTTGTCAAACCCACGAGTTCGCCTTGCAAGCAGATCCTCATTTTCACTGTCGTCCTGAAAATAAGAATCTGAAACTCGGCGAGCTTGTTTGCGGGACGTCCACTGATTGGTGTGGAGTGCCCAACGGATGATGCGAACAGCTTCGTCCACTGTCTGTGGTCTCATGTTAAAGACTCTAGCCCCAGCATCGGAATCAAAACAGCCTCTACAAACCTTGTTAATTGCCTGTGTTTCACGATACAACGCAGGGCAGGTAGCAAAAGATTAGCTGGCTTGTAGTTTCACACGGTCCGCAAAGTCTCTAATATCTTCATCTCGTCCTTGCATCAGATTGTCAAACTTTATTGACTCTTCAGCAGGATTCTCACCAGCAGCATAACGCATCCGGAAATCTGATACTAAAGAACTCCAAGGAATAGTTGACAAGGGTCTATCACCAACCAACAAGCTGTAGTACAACGTAGCACCACCAGTTCTCCAGTCACCAGATCTGTCAAATGTGGGAGGCTTCGACGGTGTCCGGTCAAAATGTGTTCTGCTCTCATTGAAGTATCTAGTGGAATGATTCACAGTGCGGTTTTCAGCGAGGTCCTGGTATATGCGGCCAAAGTTCTCACGTACAGCTGTGCTGAAACGGTTGAGTGATGAACGGGGTGAAACACTGTATGCAGTTTGTTCATATTTCGAACTGCCCAATAAAGAATCCCTGGATTCAAATGACAAGCACTGTTTGGCAATATCACAAAGTTTTGGCAAATTACGTGCTACATCATCAAACTTCAGGTCACCTTTGCTATCTCTCAGTTTAAGGATGTTGACCGCAGCACTCTGTGTCAACTCTTTAAGGGGAATCAAATCCTCTAAAGTGGCTACATTAATGTACACCAGCATCATGGAGGTTGCAATATTGACACTACCTCAAAACAAAAATAGTGCACAAATTGTGATTCAATAATGATAATCGTCAATTCAACAGTCGCAGGTATGAGGGACAAAAACCAGTACTCTTCTACAAATAGCAAACTTATCAATCACCCGGGTCAAATGGCTGTCATGCAACCGCGGCGTTTCTCAAATGCCAATCACAGCCCAGGATATAAATGGCCAAATTGTCTCATATTCAGTCGTGAAATCTTCAGCGGGTAATCATACAAAGCAGTTACACGACTCTCATCCAATAGTCACTCAAGAACTCAATGAAAACCCAAACGAAGCCAATCTGAACTCGCCACAACCATGCGTATGCCAGACACCAGCGATGTCCACACATAAACCAAAATTTCAGTTCTGAAAAATCACAAAGCTGACATAACAACCACTGTCAAAAACGATGAAAGATAAGAACAAAACCCTTCCACACATTTTAAAACACAATACCACTCAAAATATCGAGCCAAAGTATGACAGTTCACCTCTGGCCAAGCAGTATAATCACTAGCTCACAGTGACAACCACGTGTCACAAACGCGCCCGACTCGGACTCCAAAACAAATCAAAATGCGATGGGCCCAAACAAAATAACCAAACCACACGTATCCCCGCGATTCGACAGTCACAGCGCCAGTAAAGTGAAGCGGCCTGCTTGCACCTATGATACAACCTATATAGATCCTAATAGCTAAACTATTCTACACGTTTTTAACTTTCAAGTCTAATCTACTTCCGGGTACTACAAAAAGTCATAATTCTGCCTAATGTGGAACACACCCGCACAACAGTAATCGGGTTGGGTCTATACACCTATCTGTCTCTAAGCGAGACACGCTGCTATGGATTCTTACATCGTTATCAAGCTAAAAGCATCTAAAGCAGAGTCGGTTAAAACATTCCGACCACATATGAGCATGTGGTTGCCTGTGTCACACATGCAAAAGCAAGTCATTTCTTCAGTCGAAAAAAGCAAAGTAAATAATGGCGATATTGTATTAGAGCTGACTACTGGAACGTTAAAGTCACACTTTCTGGTGGAAAGTATTTTGTCACTCTGAATCTAAATGTTTAACAACGAGTCAGTCTCACTGGTCTTCTTTTTCAGGTGGATATACATATGCCACATTAATTAAAAAAATATAAAAACATTGAAACACAGTTCGATTGGGAAGTAATGAAGTGTATACATTTCCCACACACATAGTGCCTTATGAAATTCGGAGAGAGTGTCTATGATGTAAATGTAACCCTTTAAGTCAAAGGACAGGTCAAAAGACACAAAGGAGTCAAAGCAGGCCATTATTGTTGTCCCGACCTTTACCAAGTTTCATCACACTACATTCTCTTGCTATTACTTCATGCTTTCGTTCGTCTTCCCACGAATCATAGCATGTGAAACCCACGAAACACAAGTTATTAACTCTCTCTCTCTCTCTCTCTCTCTCTCTCTCTCTCTCTCTCTCTCTCTCTCTCTCTCTCTCTCTCTCTCTCTCTCTCTCTCTCTCTCTCTCTCTCACACACACACACATACACATAAAAACACACTCACACATAAATAAAAATATAATATCTTATTTATTTTATATAGTTAGATAAAATAAATAAGATATATTCCTTTCAAGAACATGATGTAAATATGCTCCCTAAAACTTACTTTTACAGCCATAGTTTTCACCGATGTAACCTTCTGCGCAGCCTGACGGACACCGACTGGTGCTCTCCAAACAGTCCGAGGCATTCTTACAGTTGCACTCCATGCCACATTCACCATTGTGAAGGCATTCTGAGAATGGAAAACATAGCTATAAAAGCTGTAGAAACAGAATTGCAAAGTCAAGAACAACCTAACAAGCTAATTTTCGCGATTATATTAACTCCAGAATATCAGCAGATAATATAGTATAGCTCCCGTGGTACGTCAGTAGTATGCTACTCCATTAATATGGACTGACTGGCTGACTGAGTTTGGTTTTACGCCGCTTTTAGCAATATTCCAGCAATATCACGGCGGGGGACACCAGAAATAGGCTTCACACAATGTACCCATGTGGTCCATTAATATGGAAGCGAAAACATTAACCCATAGAGGATAACTACAGACTAAACAAAAGAGACTTTGACCTAAATGAGCAGTGCGTTTTGGTGTAATTAATCATTTCTACAGACGTCACTGTACTGGATATTTGGTAGTTCAGTCTCCACGTGGTTTAATTTCGCAGTTTGCAATTCGAACCCGTAGGATTGAGGGCAGCCTTGGTATAACGTCAGTTCTGGTCTTACCGATATATTGCGTATAACTGAAAAGCATTTTAGTAGACATCAGCATTCCAAATATACCTGGCCATGAATACATCTTTACCATTTTAACTTATTTCACGAGCAATAATTGTTAACTTGCCGTAAGTTACAGCTACCTCGCACACCCCGCGCTGTAGGTTTAACTTAAGACTGGAGAACTTTTGCATCCCACTGTACTTGTAGACAGTAATTGTTTTGGTCACTTTCCTGTAAATCGATACTGGATTCCAGAGACGTCGTCCGTAAAAATACTTTGAAGACAGAGGTTCACCTTTATGAAACAGGATAAAAACAAGTCATTAATGGACGTCTTGCGTAAAATCATCACTTGGCCCTTCTGTAGCTTAGACTTTCGGGCAAATATCTAACATGACATGGTTGAATGCTTGAACACATGTTTAAATAATTATAATTGGAATGTATAGATTATAGAAATACTTTTCAATGAAGAATTGTGGTAGAAATCTATCAAATTGGGCTGAATACACCTAAATATAGTTTGCGTTTACCCCTATCTATACTATTTTATACGGAAGGTGTAGTGGAACGGAGAATTTGTGGATATTGTCCCTATTTAGATAAATAAACGGGACAAATTGATATTACAGGTCGAAATCAACATTGCAGGCGTATGGATTTGCAAATGAGAATCTAGATACTTACTTAAGGTACAGACAAATGTGAATAAACGTCTACTGTCAGAAGGCTTCTAATTAACATAATTAGTATAAAGATATGTTCAAAATACATGAACATAATTTTAAGCGTTGTTACACCTTAATCCCCAGTGATTAAAGTAACCAAATCATGTTTAAGATAACTACACAATAAAAAGAGCATAAACATTCAATTGTTTGTCACTTCATTCAGTCTAAAAAAATAATCAAATATCAACATAAGATTTACATATAGGGTTTGTGTAAAACGTTGAAACGTTTATATGTTTATACTTTGAATGACCAACTAATACTTATACTGATAGAATAATTTAAAGTACTTTTAAATGTGGTTAGTAATGCCGTACCTGGTTCATGAACAATTCGGATGATGTTAAATGTCCTTGCTGGTCCTTCAAAAGTGCATTTAATGATATGACGTGCACACGTTCCGAGGTCACTATCGACAGCCGTTTGACCCTCTGTGCAGGATGCAAACGTCAACTGGTTGACTGAAAACAGTAACCATATGCTGAATTTACAATTTCAACTTGATCATAATCATAGCCACTAAGACAAAATATACAAAACTATATTCCTGTCAAGCAGATGCATCAGCTTCTGTTGATCGTGTCTGGCCTATTTCTTCGCCTACTGCATCAGGTTTGTAAATATATGTTTATATGAATAACTACAGAAAAATGACTATTTGGACATACTTCCATATCGTGTCACAAAAATTAAATGCTTTCAAAAATGTTATAACCCTAGGGTTATGTACTTGTTTAGAAAGCGGTTTCCCAGCAGAAACATGAAAATATTTATGATATATACACATGCAGTCTAAATTAATGCATTTCATGGTAAACTGACATTGACAAGGAATGCTTATGGGAGCTAATCTTTGTAAATTTTGAACGCTCGTCGGCACCAAGGTAAACAAGAGTCACCAGAAGATGTCCCCCATCGCCACAAATGTGAAAGAATAAATCATCTCACAGTTACTAAAAGTCCAATTTGAGATAATTTCTGTAATAATCTGTCCATCTGTGCACAAATTATTGAGCTATCAAAACCATAACATGGAATTGGGATTCGAAGCTTTGTACTTCTATGTCAGGTGCACACTAATATCCAAGTCAAAGGAAAAACTACAAATAAAAAAATCCCTACCAGCTAAAGGCAGCAATTGGCAAACTGGTTTTGGCTTGTGCACAGTTTCATGAAAGAATACCTGGTACTCTTTCGAGGTATGATCCGGACAAACACACTATGGACAGAAGTTAAACTTGTTGCCATGGAATCATGAAATAAATTCATTTTCTCAAAATTCCAAAATAGCAAAAGGAAATGGAGAACAATAAATGTGCCAAAAAACTGTAAAAAGCAAAAGGCCCCACGCTTGATTCGTTTTTATATTCATACCATTTTTTGTTGAAACAAATTAAACGGGTTTTGAGTTATGCTCAGGAAAGGAAATGATTACGGGCGGACATTTCTTATGAATGTGAAAAGGGTTTTGTCGCTTTTATTTTAAACTTCATAATGAAGAACTCTACAATAAAGTAAACACGTGTTTTAACTAAACTTTGGAATACGACTACAATCTGACATTTCATAATGACAGGTGACAGGTGAAATAGATCTTGAAATTATAGAGAACACACACACACACACACACACACACACACACACACACACACACACACACACACACACACACACACACACACCACTGTCTTCATCACCACTGTCTTCATCACCATGGCAAGTAAAGCCAGATATTGACTAAATTTAAGCAATCTAAAAAAAAAAACAGCAACAAAAATACAAACAAGTTAGAAATATACATGATTCGTTCAAAGATATTGGATGTTGATGAATATGTTTGGGAAATAGCTAAATATGATTTCATAATTGTAGAATAAGTTAGCAACTAAGATTGTGGCTGTCGGTGGGGGTTACAGTATTGCAGAACTATTTCCCTCCGGACATTAAAAACCATATATAAAATACAGTTAGGCCTACATCGTTCATATTCTTTGTATATGCGTTAGTTAGAATTATTAAACCATTTTAAATTATATCTTTTGGAAGGTTTCATCTTAAACCTGACGTCATATTCGTATGACACATAGTGCGTGCCTTACTTAATACATGCATTAGTTAAAAACTTGTTTTAAATTATATGACGTAAGCTTCTAATTTTAAGAACCCTCTGATGTGCATAAGGAGGCACATTTGATTGGGAAGCGCAAGAAATACTGCTACTTTGTAAACCTAAAAGCAATGTTTCTTGAAAAACACAGAAATAGTTTGTCTCTTAGCCTCTGATTTAAAATACGTAATGCATGCATTGTGACATTTGAGTTCATATTTGCAATAAGAATTCAACAAATTATCATTGTAGGTTAAACTTTATAAAAGAAATTGCTTTCTTTTGAATGTCTCTTACCGTACTGGCATCGACTTCCAGCAAAACCAGCTTCACATCCAGCCTCACAGTGTGTGTAGGGAGGATCACACTGCGCCTGATTGAGACAACGACAGGCACCTGAAATATTTGAAACATTATTTGATAAAGGAACATTAACGAGTTTGACGCTTTAAGCCTGTTAATAATAGTAATACAGTCAGTCATATAAACATATAGGTCAGTATTAACTGATACAGAGGTAAATGTCACCTCAAGATGACTATCTGGGTCGGTGTGGACGGTTAGCGAGGTTGATGTCTCTTAAAGTTGAGTAACTGGGTCAGTATGGACTGATACACATATTGAAGTGCCATCTTCCTCAGTATCAATGAAAACGCATGGCTGATTTTGATGTGGAATAAAGTGACAAAAAACCAAGGTTTAGATGCAAAATGACTTTTAGTTTATGACATTGGTAATAAGCAATGAATATTGTTTTGAAAATGTTGGATATCAGCAAATGCGAGTTGTACAGATATGGCCAAACAAGGTCACCCCTTTAAACACTGTCAGTATCTTGTGTGTCTGCCATTCGCCCTGATGCGGGCATTGAGACGATGGGGCAATGAATGCCATGGGAATGTTCCTCCATTCTTGCTGCAAGGCCAGTGTGAGATTTGCGACGTTGGCTGGCGGTGGATGACTTCGATAAACGCGTCTCCCCAGTTCATCCCACAAATGTTCAATAGGGTTGAGATCTGGCGAATACGCTGGCCAGTCCATCACATTAATTCCAGCTTGCTGAATGAATGCTTGTGTCACGAGGTCGGGCGGCATGAGGACGGGCGTTGTTATGTTAGAATATTAGTGGAGGGCGTTGGTGACGGAACCACTACGGGCCTCAGGACTTCATCCACATAACGCTGTGCAGTCAGATTACCTTGGATGACAAGGAGATCACTCCTGAAACGTGCGTTGAAGGTCCCCCAAACCATTACACTATCGCCACCAAATCGTTTTCTCTGTCTGACACATGGGCCTGCATAACGTTCCCCACGACATCTTCCCTCAAGAAATGACACACAATACCGTGACTCGTCTGAAAAGACAAGCCTACAGAAGAAAAGTCGTTGTTGTTGCGCATACTGCTGTGCGAATTGACGTCGGGCTTGGCGGTCACGGGGCTGAAGCCCAGGGCCACGGTATGGACGTCGACAGTTCAATCCGGCCTGTCTCAGGCGTCGAATGACTGTCGATGGGTGGATCCTTCTTCCATGGCTACCAATCGTTGCTGCTGTTGTTGCTGTTGCCGTTCTCGAAGGTACGCCAGTCGCATCTGTCGATCTTGTCTGGCCGTCGTAACCGGAAGTCGCCTTGGTCGAGGGCGGTCGGCAATGCTCCCTTTCATCAGGTGACGACTGACAAGACGGCTAATGGTGGACTGGTTGACATTAAGGCGCCTAGCAACAACATTTTGTGAAATACCGACTTCAAGGAGTCCCAGAGCGTGTGCACGTTGCTGCAGAAGATTCAGTCGCGGCATGTTTAAGACTGGCTACTGCATTACATAGGAAAGACCTCACTAAGTGCACGTGCATTTTCATTGTCAGGATGCCCTTGCTGTGTTTCAACGAATGAAAACAAATGCGTTTTCACGACTGTTTCTGTTTCCAGTTGTTTGAACTCAAGAACTGTTCCTAATCAAGTCTTGAATATTCATTTCAAATAGTCAGTGCATCATTAGTACTTCTCACTTATGTTTCAAAATATGCGTTTTCATTGCGGGTCAGGATGTCACGTGAAGAAAAGTATCTGGGTCAGAGTGGACTGTTGATGTCTCTTAAGAATGAGTATCTGAATCACCGAGGACAGTTACCAAGGTAACTATCACTTCAGGATGAGTATCTGGGTCAGTGCGGACTGATATCTAGGTAATTGATGCTTCAAATTGTTTATCTGGGTCAGTGTTAACTGATACTGAGGTAAATGTCACGTGGTGATGAGTATCTTGGTCAGTGGGGAATGGTACTGAGGAAGATGGCACTTTAAGATGTGTATTTTGGTCAGCGTTAACTGATACTGAAGCACAGGTCCTTTTCAGATGAGTACCTGGTTCAGTGTGGACGATTACGGAGAACAGAAATCCCACGAACACGCGCATATAGCCAATGGGTCATTTAGGTAGATGTCACTTCAAGATGGGCATCTGCTTCAGTGTGGGCTGTTTCTGATTTAGATGTCACTTCAAGATCGGGTGGTGTTGTAGCCTAGTGGTTAAAGGGTTCGCTCGTCAGGCTGAACTCCCGAGTTCGATTTCCCACTTCGGTACATTGTGCAAAGCCCATTTCTGGTGAAATGCACATAATGGAATTTGGTATCAAACAAACAAACAACAATTTCTAAAATTAACTTTACAAGTCAATAGAATTCACTTCAACAAACTATTCGTGACAGTTAAAAATAGAGTGACAGTAAAAACACATAGCTGTGCATGTGCACTGACACTAAAATATAGAAGTTTCTTGTATTTTAGGCCTCAGGCCGACATATAAATAAACAAAATTTAGAGTGAATTACACAATCGGATGCTACATGCATTATTTCATCCATTTGGACATACAATATTTTAAATACGTTATTTCGTAACCAGTAGCATTTTTTTAATATAATGACAGGTGTAACATATCGGTATCATGTCTAGAGGCGAGGTCATAAAAGAAGAGAATGCAATTTCTTTTGGTTTACTAAAGTATATATTCTCGGGTTATTAAAGGTCACATGCAACGTAAAACACAACTTTGCAGATTCTGATACCTTTCGGTATGGACTTTCAGTAACAAATTATCAAAAAATGCAAATTCAACTTATATTGTTGGAAAATAACGCGATGAAAATAGCCCCGCGAAATCGGAGTTCAAACTATTCACTAAATTCACCCCAGTTGGGGTGAAATAGTATAGTGAATAGGTTCGGGCAGCTTGGAAGCGACATTTCAAGACGGGAAACCTTCGCTGGCGATAAATACTCGGAGTAGACTTTGTTGTGAGCTATTTTTGTAATGTTTTGTTGATATTTCACAGGTGCGAGCTTTTTATGTTATGACAGGAGACTACCGATTTAACCGTTTATATAATTTCATTTGACTATTTCACCACACGTTCTTCTTACCGAGTCACTTTCTCAGTTCGATACTTAAAAGCAAAGTCATTATTTAGCATGGTCAGAATTTGTAACTGTGATATAGATATGCCTCTGTCACAGACAATGTATGTTTTATTGATACCTATATGTCTGCCTTCCTGTCTGTTAATGACAATATGCAATACACAACTTCGATCACTGACCAAATGCAATTTGAACTTAACACCTATCAGGCTATACACCATAAACAAAATGCATTGAATTATGGCTCGTTCTGTTGTCACATTATGTAATTACACAGACAGGCAGGTGTGATTCTTGCACACATGACATGTTATGATATCTGCTGATTGCAAAATGATATACACAAAAACTGAGCATGTATTTACAAAACCCAACATCCCTACACACACACACACACAAACAGCCCTGAGTGTATCTGCAAATGAACCAGCCAATGACAGCCGTCGATACACTTAAGTGCACGCCAACCCGCTCTGAGTGGGTTCGGTATCCCGGGTGCTTCGTTTCAAGGGAAGTAAACCCAAGTACAAATTATTGCACTTTTGATTTGCGATTGTAAGCTTATAATTTTATAATCAGCAATATATATTACATGTCATGAATAAGTGATAATAGTGTTTTAATTATGTTTGTTTTTTTGGTTGCATGTGACCTTTAAGTAATTAAATATAAAAGCGATGTTCATGGTGGTACAGACAATGATGATGATTTCATCAAGCTGCAACAGTGGTTAAGCTTCCAAAATAGGCCCGGGCTAAGAATCTTGGGTGAACTGTGATCCTTACATAATGCTGGTCATCATTCAACGTCAGCTCGCAATCATGCACTGACACAAGTGACATTCTACTTCAGGATACCCATCATTACAGACACAACGTCCACTACTCCGTGGGGTATTAATGTATAATCCTGTTTCAATTAGCAGGAAATTTAGTGATGGTAACACAGCTAATACACAGTTCTGAGACAAACGATTGCTTAAACATTATGCATGTTGGATATTCAATGCCATGTTCGAGTTTATCATGCCAATCGTGTTCATATACTCAGCAGCAAAAAAACCCAAAACAACGTCAGTGCGAATTCAAAATTAGATAGGCACTGTAATCAAATCATTACAGAAATGGACATAATAAGCGGATCAAAAACATTTTTTGTGTACAATATTCTGATACATCAATAAATAACTCAGCACAATTCCAAGACTTTATGTGAACGTTTGCAGTCCATTCAGGCTCTTGACTTTAGTATCTAGTGTGACCACCACGAGCGACAATAACTGCAGCACAGCGTCTATGCTTGGAGTGCGCCAATCGATTGATGAAGGCCATTGGCACATGGAACCACACTCTGAGAAAGGCCTGGCGCAATAAATCGGCTGTGTTCGGCCTTGATATGACATTATTCAGTCATCTCTGAATTTCATCCCAAAGATATTCAATTGGGCTTAAATCAGGACTAAGGGCTGGCCACTGCATACTGTTGACACCGTTCTACTGTAGGAAGTCCCGTGTAGCTCTGGTAGTATGGGCCCGGGCGTTATCATGCTGGAAAATGTGGGGTCTGAGAGCATGGGGTCTGAGAGCTTGGTCGATGTAGCTCACCGCTGACATGCCGCCACCTCTCCCTGGACCAAGGTTCTGGAACACCACAGGACCCACTCTCTGGTTCAGGCCTTTTCCATCCCGCACCAAGATGCTTGCACCTCCCCATGAGTCTCTTTCCATAACATATTGGCCTGAGTAACGCTGGCCACGTCGTCGCCATATTCTTGTTCTGCCATCTGCAGTTGATACGCAGTACCGACTCTCATCTGTGAACAGTTTTCCATTGCCTGTATCGCCAGTTTTGGTGTTGTTGGGCAAACTGTAGACGTTCACGCCGATGACGAGGGGTAAGGATAGGTAAACGGTAAGGTCTACGGCAATGGAGGTTCCCGCTGTTAAGACGTCGGCGTACTGTGTCAGTACTGA